GATTCCCATCACTGCTGCCCTCTTCAACGCTAACGTCTCTCCAATACATGGCTAGAGTCAGACGGCGAGAGGGCGGGCGTGCCGCGGCGCGAGCGGTGTGAGTATGACCCTACTAGGCCGTAAGCGGCATACTGTTCGCTGCGAAACGCGCACCGTGCCGTATCCTTAGGTTGCCCGCCTGCCTTGGTATATTCACCTTCTGACCTACGATCTCATGGTGGACTCGTCTTTGATGCAGGCAGTTGGATCGGTGTGAGGGCACGCAAATTAAGGCAGACAAAATTGAGAAAGATCGCTCCAGTAGCTAGTTAGTTTTGTTATGTTTCTATACATAGAGTATGAGTTCGAAAATTCACCAACAACGAAAGAACTCACTTCTATGGGGGTGGACAATTTCTGGCTCAGGCTCGGCGGTCGTCTCCAGTACAATTTCGTTCAGCAGGTTTTCCAGTGAATGTCGATTTCGTGGCGATCTTCGTCGTTCTATTGGTTTGACTTCGTTGTCCCCAAAGAACCTATCTCCACTGGCAAGCAGGCTATCCTGTGCCACCTGAGCTGCTAAGACTTCTGGAGCGGCGGTTCGTTCTCCTGGTGCTGTTACATATTCCCAGGCTGTAGTCGTTTCCGGCGCCGCGATAGTCTCATCAACATACTGTGATTTTTCCAAGGGCGGGTCGTCGATTGATTCGCCTACTAAAGGCTCGTTTTCAGTCTCAGCTATCGTTTCATCTGTTATGGTCTCAACGAAAGGTTCCTCAGCAAACGGGGCTTCCGAACTTGTTTCAACCACGGGCTTCAGAAAAGACTTCGGGACCATTGTGACCTTCCAGCCATGTTGGGTCTGCTTGTCATCGATATCTGCTGTTTGGCTGTCGTCATTCTGCGGCTTGACGTGTTTCTTATGGGATTTTCTGAGCTTACGTACGGTCCGCCGAGTGATTGTCACATTCAGAGGTAGCGGTTGGGGATGGGGGACATTGATGAAAATCGGCCTAAGTTGTGGTACTGAGTCAGTTTCGTCAGTGGAAAAATTTGACGAAAGAAAAATAGTTACCCCTTCTCCTTCGCCTGAAGATTTCACAGTGGGGACAGCGAATTTGGAACTTGTGACAACCTTCCCCGAGCCAGTTAGCTTCAAGAAGGACGGAATCATGCCAATATAGCCCGGTCTTGGGAATTCAGAAAAGGACCGCTCTCCAGTTTTCTCTTCGACTGTAACGTGCTTCTCGGGTATCCCCTTAAAAGTGGTAGTGCTTTTCGACGAGGTAGCCTCTTTCTTAATAGTTACCGGGTCACTTTCACCACTTAATTCATCATCTTTTTCAGCATCCACTGAGGGCTCAATAATGGGAACAGCACCTATTTCAGGGGTACCCATAGAAGAACTTTCAACAGGCGGCTCCGTGGAATTCGTGGTCTCTATCCCTTCATCATTTCCAGGTCTGGGGAAAGTCGAAAAAATTTTCTTGATGGGAAGCTTTCTTGGCCTTGGGAACTTCGAAAATGCCTTCTTGATGGCTACCTTCTTCGGTCTGGGAAAATTGGTTAGATTCTTTTTGTTTGGGGAGGGTTTAGGTTTGGGAGAATTTTTCTTTGGCTTACTTTTCGTGATACCCTTGGGTTTAGGGGAGGCTGACGGGCGCGATTTGTGAGGAAGCTTTTTAGCTCGGGTAGACGTAATGGTTGAGTTGTCACTGGCGAGCTCCTCCGTTCCGTCGAGGCTTGATAACACCGGTGGTTCAGGTAATTCAATGGAAATTATTTCAGGTCCTGGGAAATTTGCCCGGGTATTTTGTGGCCGGAAGTTTCCCTGGAGCAGGAAGAGCAGGTGTAGGTGCTTTTGCTTCTTCCTCGGTGAGCACTATTGTAATTGGAAGCTCTTCTGGCCTTGGGAAATCTGTATAAATTGATTTCTTGTGCAAGTTAGGTGCTTCTTTTCGAGGGAGTGCAGTGCTGTGCAGATCGAGCTGAGGTGATTCTGTCTCAGTGGCAGGTGTGCTGGACAGATGATTAGGTTTAGTGCCAGAAGGACGTTTCTTGTGCTTGCTAACTTTTTTAGGGCTCACGGGAGAACCTTTGGTCGACGACTCGGGAGATTCGTCAGTCCACTTTGTCTCAACTGATTCGTTGCGTTTTAAAGCAACGATCGAGGAAGGAAGATTCCCCTGTTGCTCAGTAAATCGCTGGGCAGAGAGTCCATACTTGGAACGTTGATGTAGCGAGCTCCTTTCGTGGACTTATGACTTCCAGATGATGACTTTGTTTTCGAAACATGCGTTTTCTTCGTCTTCTTACCCCGACCTGAAAAGTGTTAGCATGGTGCAAAAAGCAAAACTCAAAATAAACCAAGGCTGCTTAACAGAAGAATGAAGCCATTTGGGGGCCCGACAGGAAGCCCGTCGCGTGGCGTGAAGGCAGAGACGCAAACGGCTAGCAGCCCAGGACTCCCGGCGTGTGCTATGTAATGACGTACTAGTGCATTCTCTTTACTTGGCGCAAAATTACCTCAGCGCGCTGCTACTAGTCCATTGAAACATCTGCGTCTCTGCCTTCTCGCTGTGAGACGGGTTTCCTGTCGGACAACCCTGATAAGGACATTTTATTTGCTTGGCCGATTGAAGCCTTTATGATTCTCTTAGGTATAAACTTAATTGAAAGGAGTTATCACATTCTGTAGCGCAAACTAAAACTTCTTCAGAGCTCCAACATTGAGCAAAGAACCAAACTTTATATGAAAATGTGAAAAGCAGACAGAAGCGGTGAAAATTTGAAAAGATCAAATAGGTGTGCAAGCGAAATATTCCGCCACTGTCGCCGCGATCACATTGTGTTCAGTAATCGTACCTCTGAGGAACGATTATCGATTATACGCGCTCACCACAGCTGCGCTTCGGAGTGTGAGAGCAGCAGCTCAAAGGCAGTGATCACGATGGTTGGAGGGTGCTACGGTCTTGATGACTTCAGACAGTCTTGATCCCCCCCCCCCGCACCACGACGAAGGGTCTGACCTGCCAATGACGTTCCATGACGCATCAAACCCCAATGTCCTCCAGCCATCGTGATCACGGCATTGAAGCAACAAAGGTTTGACAGCTTTAGCAATTCAGTGTAAAATAAAATCTCCTTGGCTGGGAACTGGTTCAGTATGCACGGAAAATATAAATTCTTGAATCTGATGAACATTGAGGGAAAAGCTCTTACCTGCTTTGGTTGGAAGCTTCTTTGTACGCGTTGGTGAATAGGCAATAACTATGTCACGGTCCTTAGTCTTACTGTCAACCTTAAATTAATAAAGTTTGACGACGTCATTGTAGTTTATTGGAAACAAAGCTCAAGTATTATAGCTTCTACTGTTTTGCTGAGTAAGGATCTTGTAATTTTGAAGCTATCCACATATCCAAGGCAAATTAAGACATTGAAGTATTTTTCAAGGCATCCCCAGAGCTTCAGAGCCTTTTCGGCTCAAATCGCAATCATTTCAGTAGAAAGTGATGGGCAATATACAGCGGTATAACAAAGTATTCCCAGGATAGCGAAGATCAGAGTTGGCTGATGGGGATGAGAACAAAAGCGGAAACCCTTCCGGAGACGGAGGACTTCAGTCGACCTGGGAGAGTAGAAAACGTGACGTATCTGCTTCAATGTGTTGGACCCCTGCTTGTTACGATGTATTTCGCTTCCCAGCCATCATGCTGCCGCCAGCCAGGATGCTGGCGGGCTGCGTGACGAAATATTCTTCGGCATACTAACTACCCGTCCACAACAATCGCCCACCAAACCCTGCCCCTGAATCTTCGCCCACAACCCTGGCGACTCTGGGAATTTTTCGGGAATTTATAGAAGTTTGAGAAATGTCATCGAGTAGTAGGCTATCTTGGTAGTCAATATGCCCTTGTGTGCACCCTCTCCTACACCTTATATAGCCACGCCCACCCTCAAACTCCGCCCAGTGACTTGTCCATATTGCTTCGACTTTTACTCATTAACTGACTTCTTGTCGTCAGCCATCAAACAAACGTCCGTGTAGAACTCTCATCAAACGCTGGAGCACTCAATCTGATTTTTCGGCGCACAATGCAGAAAAATTTCTGCGCGAGTCAATGCTGGCAAGCTTCTCCCTTATCCCAACAAATTCTTAGAGGGTTCGCATTCAAGTTGAGAAGTCATCCGCGGCAGCCGCTGAGTTTCAACTGATCTACCTTAATTGCTCCAGTCTAAAGACGCTACCCCGATTCTCCCATTGATTCAGTGATGAACAGATTCATGGCGACGGCAGCTCTGACAATGCAAGAATCCTGTGAGGGGCATTCCAGACATCATTGAGATAATCTTCAAGCTGTCGCGGAACTGGTTAGCCCGAACACTGTTCCATGTATTCTTGCCAAGTCCTTCTGATGGCCCCATGTAGGAGAATATTTCAGACTTTTTAATAGGCTCGAACGTGCACTCTAATCAGCCGCTGGAAGCATCGTGCTTGAGTTAAGCAAGTTATAACTAACTCAGTTCTGAGAAAGGAGGGGAAAAGTCTCTCCTGGCTCACTGTGTCTACTATTGTATTTATGTACTCTGAAGTGGAAAAAGTTTGAAAATCTCACTCGAACAACAGGAACTGACGAATGGACCGCCATATCGACATGGTTCTCTGGAAAGAAGGTATTATTGAGAACACCAAAGAGTCTATGTTCCTAGATGAAGATATTTCGCTAGCCCACCCTGTGTCCCTGTTGGCTCCTCTGAAGATTTTACGCATTCCCTCATAACTCCGGCGCTACCCGTCTCTAATTAAGCAATAGTTCCCAGTTTTATTGCGCAGGTAATTATGCGGCCCATATATTGGGCCACCAACGTAACCTCCCAATATATCTGCTAATACATACAAATAAATCAGTGCTCACCCTCAGCGGCGGGTCCGTAATTGTCTTCGACCTCTAGCTGACTCTCCTCCCCATCTGCGTTCGCGTTTCCTTCGCTCTCGTCGTATGAAGCTTTGCCATCTGTCACTTCAGAACTTGGCTCAGTGTTTTCCACGCTTTCACGCGCTTCCTCGACTGATTCCGAACCTTCGGTCGCCTCAGCTGACTCCTTATAATTTTCCTTTGCATCACTGTGACCATTTTCCTTGCCAGCCTTGGCAGAAGCAGTTGTACTGCTTTTAGTTGTTTTAGGTACAGCCGTCGGTTTTTTGTTGTCACTTTTAGCTTCATTCTTATTTGAAGCCGGCGAAATTTTCTCTGAGGTATGATTGGTTTTTTCTTCTGGCTCAGCTTCAGCCGATGGCTTCTCTTTCTCTTCATCAGCGCTTTTGTCCTTCTCATCCGAGGTTGTGCCTGTTTTCTCTGGTACATGTTCACTGTCTCCAGGCTCCTCCTTCTCCTCAGCCTTCCCGTGATCTGCTGGACCATAGGGTTCCTCTGGAGCGTATTCACTGTTTTCAGCTGGTTCTTCTACATCCGCTGCCTGCTCATGTTCTCCCTCAGCTTCATTCTGATCCGGAATAGGTCCAGCCTTCTCAGATTGGTGCTCACCATTTTCAGGCTCGTACTCACTCTTGGCTTCGTTCTGCTTTGATGTCTTATCAGTGTCTTCTGAGTTCTCACCACTGTCATCAGCTACTTCGCTCTCAGCTAATGACTTATCATACGCATCCTCAGCCTCTTCCTGCTTCGACGTGTGGCCAGTATGGTCCTCCTTGATCTTCTTCTCTTTCGAGGCTGGGACATTGCTTCCATAGGGGTTTTCACCTTCATTCGGTGACTCGGGCTCTACGGTCGTTTCGATTTCTGTATTCGTGCCGGTGTATTCTTGATTGCCACCAATTTGCTCCTCACTCTCCTCTTTCCTTCCCTTTCTATCCTCTACGCCTCCTTGAGTGCTACTTATTACAGTAGAGATTTTATGATCCACATCATATCCCTCATCACCGCCGTGTTCTTCTGATGCGACTTCTTTCTCAGCAGCATCTTCATGCGATGCAGGAACAGATTCTTCATATGGTTCCGCCGGAGCAGTTGTAGTGGGTCCGGATTTACTGGTAGGCGGTACCGGTGAAGTCGACGGAGGTGAAGGAAGTACAGTCGAACGCGTTTTGCCTGAAAGTGACTTATTATATGGAATCTCTCTCAAACATAGCGGATCGTGGAAATCTGGTACAAACTGCTCTGGTGGCGTTAACCCTTAACGAGGTTTTTTTTACTGAAATCGAGACGGGACATGAAACGTCAAGCGGTTTTGGTGAGTTGGCATAGTCACCTTGACAACATTCACGAGATTAGTTTCCTCCCTTCAAAGACTAGTGTAGATAATGCCTCTTAGATTTCTTCATTACCCGTCAGGCAGCTTGCAGAAAGCAACGAAGAAAGTACAGAAGATCCTTTACTGCACAAATCCTCATCCCCATACATCACCAAGTAAACCTATAGCAGTTTACGCATTGAAGGCCATCACGCGAGTGTCGTTACATTGAGCGATAGCACAAAGCGCGAGTTCAAGCAGCGACGGGCGATACGATGAGGCTCAGAGTGACGTAGTGGCTGGCACAATGAGCGAGATATCAGAAAACAGCGACGAAAATATCCTGCGAAAAAAAAAAAAAAAAATTGCCCCTCCCAAGCAAAAACGAGGCACCCCCCTTCTGGCACCTGTTAACGAGGCCATGAACAGGTGTATAATGAGCTGCAAGCGGGCATCTGAGCGGCGTCTCATAGGCCAGCCGCGCGTTTTCGCAAGCGTATGACAGTTAACGTTCATCAGTTCTCACGATAGAGAGTTGTACCCAGTATGTGCCCGTTGCTGGCTCGTCCAAATCTACCGAAGTTTCGGCGTCGAATAGGATCTAAGACGGAAAGTAGGCGGATACGGCTTTGGAGTGCGTGAGTGCTTTCTAAGTCCGCTGCATCAGAGCAACCATACCACGCGAAGCTTTCAGTCAAAGCGCTATATCGTCCGCTCCGCTGGTTAACCAAAAGCTAATTGATCCTCCGTCGTGGGTTCAATGCTTCCACGATAATGAGACGCTCTCCATTTCGTAAATCGCTGCCTCAAAGAGCTCTTGAAGCCTAGAATCGGCCATTGGTTTTGACACGAGGAAAGCGTGCCCTCTTTTTGAAAGCATCTAGTTGATCCTCCTCCAGGCATCAAAGAACCCTAACATGGCGAAGATCTTTATTTCACACACACCAGAGAAAGGCTTACACTCAGACGGCAGGTCTGATAAGCTTCAAGTGGTACCGTCAACCTGACTTGACACCAAACCTAGAAAAAAAGAACACTGGGAAAAAAATTGATTATTGGAACAAGTCCCTCAGGAACAACAATCCATTACTGTGAATGACATACCTCTCGTTCGGCTTTTAAGGGATGTGAAGAATCTGTTCCTTTGTGCACGGGATATCGACGAGGAGATCCCTATTTAGCACATCGTTTTCTGGGTGACGATTCTCCTAAAATAACACTTGAGTGACGAATGAGAAGGCAAATCAGTTGCAAGGTCTTACACATAAAGTGTGATTCCGTTCCTACCAAGCGTGCCACTGGACCTGCTCACTTCGAGCTGAGCTGAACACGGACATTCGAATGCAGGCGACAGGCCCCCGTGACAGGCCGGCCTACGAACACCCACGTCACATCACAAATGTCATGTCGCTAAATGAATCTCGAGATAATGCTACGGCGTCCGCGGGAGCCGACGCGCACTCGCAAAGCCCGGCGAGTGTGAAAAGTATGCGAGGGTCTCCGGTGCAAGGACGGCATCGGGGGGCAACTAGGCTAGTCCAAAAGTCCGCAACGTATGGAAGACTCGCGTTGCGACGTTAAATGTAGGCACACTAACGGGCCGCTCGTACGAGTTAGTAGAAGCTCTAGAGCGCCGACGAATTGACTTCTGTGCCGTGCAGGAAACGAGGTGGTCCTGCTGCAGTAGTCAAGGGACATTGGCCGCGGCTTCAAAGCCGTTCTCTGTGGCGGTCCCAAAACCACCAACGGCGTGGGATGATTGTCTCTGAACGCTTCCGTGATTCGATAGTGAGCGTGGAACGCTTTATGATGACCGCTTAATGCGATACCCAGGCAAAAATACCGTGTGAGCGTCTCGTTCGTTCCTTGACGGCTACTGCCCAGCAGACAATCACGAACGTAACAGTCCCGTGCAACGAAAGCGCCCGAAAAAGGCGCTAGAGTCTTCTAAACCAAGCTGCACGAGATGCACGGGCCGACTTGTCCGCAGCTGTGGGGTTCGCCGCAGCTGCGAGGCGAGTGTGCATGAAATGAGTCTAGCAATGAAATGAATCTAGCAAAGTGTTAATATCAAGTTCGGAAAACTCGTCCGGTTGCACCTCCCCTTGAAGGCTAGGCGAGATGTTACTGGAAGAGTGGAGGTTCCTGTTTAGGCTTCATCGCGGGTTTTTTTCGCTGTTTCTTCCATTTCCATTCAACAATGCACACTCACATCCGTTATCGATCGCTCTTACCCCGCAAATCCGTGCCTGAGTTGTGCCTTTAATGAAGATCATTGTCATCGTCATGGAACATCAAAAATACCACTTCTTCTCTGCGTACGCTCCGCAGACTGGATGCTCCGAGCAAGCCAAGGACAAGTTCTGGAACCTGCTTGATGAGAAGACAGCTGAGGTACCGTCACAAGAAGCCATAATTGTTGCAGGTGACCTCAATGGTCACTTGGGCGCTACGAAAGACGGTTATAACTGTCATGGTGGTTTTGGATATGGGACACGTAATACTGATGGCGAGCGAATTCTTGAATATGCGGAATCGCATAACCTCGCCATTGTAAACACGAAATTCCGGAAACGTGAATCCCATCTTATCACCTTTTATAGCGGTAAAACCAGATCACAAATTGACTTCGTCCTTGTCAGGCACCGCGATCAAGGGCTCGTAACAGACGCTAAGGTAGTACCTTATGAAACGGTCGTCACACAACACCGACCACGCTCTCACTGCTATACGATCGCTACCGCAAAACAGAAATTGGCTGAAATGCTGCCAGCGAGAATCAAGTGGTGGCGACTGAAAGAAAAAGAAGCGACTGTAGTTTCTCGCCTTCGACTACCAGCGGTTACGACTGTCGACGAAACTTGGAAAGGTGCTGCCGAAGAAATAACTCGGATAGCTCGATCCGAGCTCGGCGTTACGAAGCCTGGACGTCGGAGAATTGATAAGCAAACGTGGCTGTGGACGGACCAGGTCAGAGAGAAAGTGCGTGAGAAGAAGAAGCGGTACCACGCTTTTCTAAAGGAAAAGACAGCTGATAACTGGCGGAGCTATGTGATAGCAAAGAAAGAGGCAAAAAAGGCCGTCGCTTCCGTAAAAGCAGCTCATTTCGCTGATGTCAACGAAAAACTCGAGTCGCGTGACGGAGAGCGGTACGTTTACCGACTCGCAAATTCCCGCCATCGCCAGACCGAGGATATAGAAAAGTTCTTTGGCATAAATGACGAAGATGGCCAGCTTTTGACGGATCGCAAGAAAACTTTGAAGCGATGGCACGACTACTTCGAAAGCATCTCAACAGTTGAATTTGCCCATCCTGCCATCCCTCTTGCTCCACCAGTACACGGTCCCGTTCAGAAGATAACCGTGAGTGAGACCATAATGGCTTTGAAGAAGATGAAGCCAGGCAAAGCAACCGGTCCCGATGACCTAGCGGCCGACTTGTGGAAGTCCAAGTGCTGGAATCCTGCAGAATGGTTGACGAAGTTCTTCAACCAGATCATTGCAGAGAAGAAGGTGCCTGAGAGCTGGCAACAAAGCACGACGATTCCCATCTGGAAGAAGAAAGGTAGTCCTGGAGACTGCACAAGCTACCGTCCAATTCGCCTGCTCTCGCACAGCATGAAAATCTTTGAGCGAATTGTAGACAGTCGAATCCGGGACATCGTTGATCTGACCACCAACCAGTGTGGTTTCGTGGCTGGCTGCAGCACCATCGATGCCATCCACGCCGCTCGCCTCTTGCTAGAGAAAACATCGCGAAAAACAAAGACCGGTGCATTTGGCCTTCCTAGACTTGGAGAAGGCTTTCGATCGCGTTCCGCGTGAGGTTATATGGTATGCCTTACGGCAACATGGCGTTCCCGAAGAGCTTATTGAGTGGGTGCGCATTCTCTATTCGAGTCCAAAGAGCCGGGTGCAAACGGCAGCAGGCACTTCGATGGATTTTCCCATCTCTGTCGGGGTACACCAAGGCTCTGCGCTGTCCCCACTCCTATTTGTTGTCGTCATGGATGCCATTTCGAGAGACATTCAGAAGCCGGTTCCATGGACGCTTCTTTATGCTGATGATGTAATGCTCGCCAGCGAAGATAAAAGCACTCTCGAGCAACAAGTGCAAACCTGGTCCGACCGCCTGGCTATGTTCGGGCTCAGGTTGAACGTCAAAAAGACCGAGTACTTGACCACCGATCCGTGTGAGACAGGCTCTATCAATATCAATGGTACTGAGCTTACACGCACAACGACATTCAAGTATCTTGGATCAGCAATCGCGGCTGATGGCAGTCTGGCTTCTGAAGCGAATTCTCGCGTGAGTGCAGCGTGGTCGAAATGGCGCGCAATGACTGGCGTTCTGTGCGATAAGAACATACCAGAACGGTCTCAAATCTAAGATCTATAGAACCGTCATCCGGCCAGTCGCGATTTACGGTGCCGAATGCTGGCCTGCGACTAAAGAAGTCGAAGCCCGTCTCAGTGTGATGGAGACAAAGATGCTGCGTTGGACAGCTGGAGTCACTCGACTAGACCACATTCGAAACGAAGTCATCAGAGAACGATTCGGTGTGCTTCCAACTGCCGACAAGATGCGCGGAGCAAGTCTTCGATGGTACGGTCATCTTCTTCGTGCAAAAGATGACAGTGTCCGTAAGATCAGCTATAGCCTTGACGTGTCCGGAAAAAGGGCTAAGGGACGCCCGAAACAGCGCTGGCTCGATATGTTGCACACAGACTTGAAGTCGGTTAGCATACACCCCGGCCAAGCATTTAGTCGGGAAAGGTG